AGGATGGTACAAATCATGTATACCAATGCGACCCACGCACAAAATTGAGAAACTGAACGAAAGAGGATGTTGTCAGTAGTGTTTATTTTACAATGTAATTGCAAAATGTCCTGGGTAACCACATGCCTAGCCCTTGGCATGTGGACCTTTTGTTTTTAAAAGGGCATGTTTTTTCTGTTCATCAGTATAATTTTAATAAAAACGAAGCATTGCATTTCATTCTACATCTATCATGTTATTTCCTTTCGCTTTCACTCAAAAACAACCAAAAAAACCCAACCTAATATAAACCACTAACCATAATGCATATCCGACAACGAACCTATAACTAATGACAACTTTAATCACTCGCCGAATTTTGATCACCCAATAAATCAGGCAGAGGAAGGGGTAATGATGAAGATTGGGAAGCGTCCCCAGAATTGAAAATATTAGTTGAGCAAGATGGAAAGGAGATATAACCTCACGAAGAACCTGTTGAGCTAGTGAATCTAGGTTCAGATGGAAACAAAAAGGAGATCCGAGTAGGCACACTCATGGACATGATCGAAAGAAAGAAAATTATTGAACTTCTGCACGAGTATAAAGATGTATTCACATGGTCATATGAAGACATGCCAGGTTTGGATCGAAATTTGGTGGAACACAAACTACCATTAAAGCCAGATTCTAAACCAGTGAAACATAAGCTACAAAGAATGAAGCCAGACATCTCCCTGAGGGTCATAGAAGAAGTACAAAAGTGGTTGGATGCCAAGTTCATAACAATGTCTACCTATCCTGAATGGGTAGCAAACATAGTTGTAGTGCCAAAGAAGGGAGGAAAGCTTCACATTTGCATTGATTACATGGACCTTAATAAAGCCAGCCCAAAAGATGATTTTCCGGTACCCCACATTGATGCTTTAGTCGATAATACCACAAACCATGCCTTATTCTCATTCATGGATGGTTATTCGGGATACCATCAGATTAAGATTGCTTCGTAGGATATAGATAAAACAACCTTCATCACCCCGTGGGGAACTTTTCGATATCAAGTGATGCCATTCGGATTGAAGAATGCCATGGCCACCTACCAAAGCGCTATGGTAGCTATTTTTCATGATGTGATGCATAAGGAGGTTGAGATCTATGTTGATGACATAATTTTCAAATCTAAAATGGAAGGAGAGCATGTCGCCAACCTGCGAAAACTCTTTGAAAGGGTACAGAAGTATCAGCTCAAATTGAATCTAACCAAATGTAGCTTCGGAGTAAAATCTGGTAAAGTCCTGGGATTCATCGTTGGCCAGGAGGGAATAGAAGTAGACCCCGAAAAGGTTAAACGATCATGGAAATGCCAGCTCCCAAGACTGAGAAGCAAGACAGAGGATTTCTTGGCACACTAAATATAACACCCTAAAATTAAGTCTTTAAAAATTACAATATTAGTCCTGGGATTCTCGCTTGAGTGAGGGATTCTCGCTTGGGCGAGAAAGGCTCACCTGGGAGAGTGAAAATCCTGGACTATACTGAAGGATTCTCGCCTGAGCGAGGGTTGGCTTGCTTGAGCGACAGTGGTCTCACTTGAGCGAGAGTTGGCTCGCTTGGGCGAGGAAGGCTTAACTGGGAAGGGGAAATCCAGGGTTATACGGAAGGATCCTCGCTTGAGCATATATTGTGAGCATATATTTACACCTAAGACACATGAGTGTAAACACTTTGGAGAGCATATATTGTGAGGATCTATCATTGTTGTGACTCACCTCTTGATTTGATTGGTTTCTTTGCATGCTTGAATTGATTGGATGATCTTCATGGATATCTTGATTCTTTGATCTTTTTATTCTTGTGTGTTTGATTTTGCCCATCTCTTTGCATTTCTTAGAATTCATTGAGAAGTATGTAATATTTAGGATTTTTCATTTCCTAGTTTTTAATAATCTTCTTACATGACTCACTTTGGTGCACTAGTTAGCATAACATTATTTCTTGATTTCGCCCAGGAGTGCAAAAGGTTAAGTGTGGGGGTATTTGATGAGTCATATATTACACACTATTAATAGCCTTATTTTACCTTTGTTAATCATTTTTGGTGTCTAATTGACTTTATTTAGCATTGTTTAGTGTTTTAGGCTTTATTGGACTATTATTCCTAAAATGAGTTAATTTGGGATTATTTAGCCTAATTAAATCTAATTCTATTTTCAGGTCATATTTGGCACCAAGGACATTTTGGGCATTACAAGTGGATGATGTGTGCTAAAGTGAAGATTGTAATTTGTAATAGCTTTTTAATTCCATTTTAGGTTTTGGGCCCATTTATTAGGGCCCATTTCGGTTTTACCATTTAAAAAGCTTAGGATTTCGTTTTCACTCATCACTTTTACTTTACACACTTTACTTTTTCAGCTTTAGAAAAGAAATTCGTTTTCCCCCTTTTGGGGTTCTTTTAGGTTTTTGTTTTTCTTCTTCTTCCTCTCAAAATTCGGTTTTGCTTCTTCCTCCACGGAAGGCTAGAGATTTAGTGCTAAATTCATTTGGTAATGTATTACACTCTTGAGGTTTAGTGCTTAATGCATTCCGGTTTCTCTTTAATCGTTTAATGCAATTTCGGTTTCTTTATGTTTGAATCTTCTATCCTATTTCAGATTGTGGTTTGCTTAATTCCATGGTTTTGTTGTAGGTTTGTGAACTGATTTTCGCTTAGTTAATTAATTCTCTAGCACATAATCGCTTAGTTTATGTGAATCTGTAAATGCTCTATGTTTATGTTGATTTCGCTTAGTTTGAGACTTAAACATTAGAGTTGTGAACAAATTAGGAATTCAATGTTTAGAATATGAAATTAATGCTTTGATTCGTGTGACTTTGTTAACTGTTTGTTGCTTATGTCAATTTCGCTTAGTTAGAGATTTAACAATTTAACTGTGAGTTTATTATCGCTTAGTTAATCGACTCTGAACAAAGGAACTCTGAGAATCTGATTTTGATGTATTGAAACCAAGGATTGAGTTGTGAACAAGGATACCAGAGGGATTTAGCCTCTTTACTATTCTGTTTTAGTTAATTTCTGTTTTTGTTCTGTTTTAGCTTTAATTTCATAGCATAACAACCACCAAAACCCCCCATGTGTGTGTGAGTATAAGGTGTTTGAACCAATGTGTGAAAGATAATCTTTGGGAAACGACCTAGGAGTCACTTCCTAGTATTATACTTAATTGATTTATTATTTTCATCGGGTACGACCTTGATCAACTATTTCCAATTATACAAGGCTTCTTTTTAAATCTCTAAACACTGAAGAAGATATCCCTAATTACCCTCTGTTAAGCATGAAGATCATGGAAGGAGATCAATGCTATAGAAACCCTTAAAAATAGTCACAACCTGGGAAGGGTAGTTTTCTAATATTCCTCAAAAAACTCGGGAAATGGTTTCAGGCTAGAAAAGTAAAAGCCTAGGAACTCCACAATAAATAAATAAATAAATAAGAGGAGAAGAAAAAATAAGTCCGCTAAGACTCTTGAAGGATCTAAGGCAAAAGTTAGGGCAAAGTCACACTGGACTCTCACTCGCAATAAAAAAGAGCTAAACAATAAAAAGGAGGAGTAGTTGGAAGTAGGATATTGGAGAAAAGAAGATGAAGGGGGAAGGGAAACACATTTCGAGCCTTTATACCAATTCTCTTGAAACCTGTATAGCCAGGCCCCGATTCAAGCCCAAAAAGTCCTTGTTGAGGAATAGATTGCTTGGGATCGCACTAGGGTAAAAAGCAAATTGACTCTGAAAAGAAATACATATTTCTAACGCATTCATACCATCAAACTAATACTAGCACAAAGTGATCATTGTATCAACATTTCTAAATGAAAAAGATAAAAGAAAATAAAAATGATTAAAAAAACAACAACAACCCATTAGGTCGAATACCCGGAAGGGCGACCTAAGCAAAAATTAGGGAATTTAAAAGGAAGTTGCCCTCAATCAGAAAAGGTATTGCCAAATGTACCAATGGAAAAACGGGTCCTTAGAGCAAGATACTAGGGCATAATTTATTGGATGAGTATCCCCTTCGATAAATTCTTAGCAAGGATCTAAAAGCCATTTGTTGATAAGACCGAGATCTCAATATTTGTGAGCCAGATACTGGGGCAATTTAGTATGCATTCATTCTCCCACAATAACTTCTTGGCTAAATACTAGACGACACCATCAAGCGACAATGACTTCGGTGAGATACTGGGGCAAATTTTCGAAGGAATATAAAATTCGGTAGAATCCCAATAAGTGAAAGTTAATGTTGTTATTTTTTATATAAATAGTTGAAAGAAATGTCGTAGACCTTTTCCAAAATCCACATCAACGTTCTACTTCCACATATTAATATCAATTCCCTACTCCTCCATCGTACCTCATGAATGAACAAATGTTGTGTCGTTATGCTGATGAACCGGAAAATAAACTTTTGCAATTAACGATTGAAAATAATTATACAAGCTGACAACTCATAAAGAATGGATGAAGTCATGCCGGTGTATCGCCAAAGTTTCGAATGAAAGGATGTCTTAAAGCGAATGCAATGATTACGACACTCAAGAAAACAAAAATTTCATTAAAACCAAAAATGATTTGCAACTCATACGCATAGGCCAAGAATTTATCTCATTCATAACATGCATTCATTCACAAAATTCATTAACGAAAAAATCATCATCAAATTCTGGGGCATTATGGGGAGGGACTAGTTAGAGTCAACCGTCACAACTCCCTTACCTACTTTTAGTAGAATAGGTTAATGTCTAGAGCTACTGAGTGCTCGCATATTTACTTTACTGTCTCGAGTCACTGAGATCTCGTAAATTTGCTTTACTGTCTCGAGCCACTGAGTGCTCACAAATTTATTTTATTGTCTCGAGCCACTGAGTGCTCGAAAATTTATTTTATTGTCTAGAGTGACACATGTATTCATACATTCTTGTTCTAATTGTTGCTTTGGGTCCATTGTCTAGGCCTCGAAAAAATTAATGTTATTTTATTTACTAGTTACTCACTTTGATAGCCTTCAGTTTACTTGCTTTCAAGTAAGCAACAAGTAAAGAGGGGCAGTTGTGAACACTCAATTTTGTCCGGCCCAAATACATAAAAAAACTGATAATAAATAGCAAAGAAATTCAAAACTAACTAAACCCTACCCACCCCCAATTTCTTCAGATGCTTTAATAAGAAGATTCTCTCAAGTTATATATCAACCATCTCCTATAGCTTAAAATAAATCAACACTCAATCTCTCTGAAAATAAAAAGAAATCAAATCACGATTAAGATAATAAAAACAATTAAACAAGATTCCAAAAAATAGTAATAAGTAAATACATTTAATAAAATAGCATTTACTAATCAATATAATTCCAAAAAAGAGATGACACCAAAGATATGCATATTAAGAATCTTGATAAATTAAGCATAATCAAGCAGCAATAACGATTAACATTAAGGTGATAATCACCAATTATAAATAAGGCATCATATAGTGGTCTCAATAAGGCAACTCAAGATTCAAAAGGAAAACTAAGACAATTTAGAGCATTAAAACCATGATTTGAAAAAAAAGAATATATCAAGAACATTAAAACCATGATTAACAATCAATATAAAAAAGGGAATAAACAGATATGCAGTGGATGAGGAGATACATATCAGAAATATAGGAGGTTCTCATGAACCTCAACCATTATAAAAGGCAATCAGCTAGTTCAAAGAGGAGATATACAAAATACCTACAGGCTACATACCCAGAACAAACCCACACCCATAACATACTTCCATAGAATCCCAACTACTGATACCTGCACTCATTTTTTCACCCCCAGTTCAAATACCCACTACATCATACAGAGTTTTCGCAATCCACAAACACACCCACTTACCCATCACTAGTTCCCTTTTTATTTCTAGACTCGAACACAGAAAACCAGAGATACAAACTACCCATCCCTATATCACACTCATCATAGATAACAGAAAAATCTATACGAAATACATCCTATCTACCTTACATCGCATAAAAGGAGGGGGACATTCAAAAACAGGGAATCAAGCAAGGATTAGTATTCAAGGAATAGGGTTAAAGGGGCCCATACAGGTAAGTCATCAATTATATCCACTAAAATAATGATAAACAGTGATGCCTGTTATATATTATGCATTCCTAAGGCTGATGTACACACTTATTAAACATATTCATATGCATCTTTGTTGATTGTCGAGATTTTCAGCATAAAACATATGTGATTTTCTGAGTATATCAATGTCCTAACCATTTTTATAAGAAAGCAAGCAATCGGTTCTTAGTACCCAGACTAATTAAAATTACTAAAAAGGGAAAAGAAATACAACGATGAGTAAAGGTTGTTCGTACCTTCATAGCCCAAACCGAGATAAAGAACCGAATCAAGGAGAAGAGAAATCATCATCATGGATGGCGGTTCATTGCATGGAAAACGACCCTAAACCGCTCCAACCACTGTAAACGGCCTTCGCGATATGCTCATCCTCGGAAACCACTGCCTCTGCCACTAATAGAAGGAAACCAGAGTGGAATCGCGGTTGATTTTCCTCCCGTCTTCTCTCCTTCGCGTTTTCCCTTCGCGTTCTCACTTTCTCTCTTCTTTTCACCTCCTCTCTCAAACTCTAAGCCTGATTGAAACCAAAGAACTCCTCCCCCTAATTGATTTATGTTTTTATTTATTTTTTTGTTTTGTTTGTTTATTAATTCTTATGATTAAGTAATATTAATAATGATAAATTAGGTTTGATAAAATGCCATACCCTTTTGTTTTTTTATTTTTCATCTTACCAAATTTAATCCCTTTTAAAAGTGTGTCCATTGAAATATTAATTACTTAAATGAATTTATAGTTTTACTTAAATGAATTTTAATGAAATTTTTATAGTAAGGTTACGGTTCGAGTTGACTTTGACTTCTCTGAAAATGGGAAGAAAGTGAGCGACCAATACAGACTCTAAACTATTAATTTCATGCTAAAATATTTTAAATAAAAATTATTTTATTACTTAAACGAATTTTAATCGAATTTTTATAGTAAGGTTACGGTTCGAGTTGACTCTGACTTCTCTGAAAATGGGAGGAAGGTGAGCGACCAACACCGACTCTAAACTATTAATTCCTTATCAAAAGTATTTTAGAAAAAATCATATAGTATTTCAGTATATTTTAAAACTACTCAAAGCAATTTAATTATTTTTCAAACAAGAACTACGTAGCCTTGATTTCCCTATTGCACCTAGGGATACGTAGGAGCAAGATTAACTCTTGTCAGGCCCAACAATAAAAAATAAAACAATTTTCTTTTATTACTGAATTTTAATAAATATTTTATAAGGGTACAAAAGTCCATGTTATTAGTGAGGGTACCGTTTTAATACGGGCGGACTGGGTGCTAATACCTTCCTCGAACTGTAATCGACTTTCGAGCTCAGAATCTCTGTTCAAAGACCAAGTTATCCGTAAAAAACGTAGTGGCGACTCCAAAACAAATGAAAGAGGTAGAAATCGAGTTCGCCTCTCCTTAAGTCGCAGAGTCGGTCTTCCAACCGAAAATCGGGTCGCAATAGTTTTCAAAAGAGAATTATTTTCGAATCTCATATTTATTGCAAGAACTTCATCCAACCAAACTAGGAGACAAAAATATTTCAGGTTATTTTACTGATTTGAAGATTATTTGGGAGGAATTAGCAACATTGAGACCAATTCCTTCATGCACTTGTTCATTAGATGCAAGTGCAATATTATGAAAACAATAAAGAATTACATAGATTCTGAATATTTAATTTATTTCTTAAAGGGATTGAATGATGAATTTTGCACAACAAAGGCCCAAATTTTGTTGATGGAGCATTTTCCTGCAGTGAACAAAGTTTTCTCATTATTGCTATAGTTGGAAAGGAAAATAGCTGGTATGTGTTCCAAAGTTTTATTCAATTCGAATGATACAAGAATGCAATAAGGTAACAATAATACTACACAACAATGGAGAGGAGGTATGAACAGAGGACACATGTATGGAAGGAATAACAATTATCAAAGTAAAGGAAGAGGTTTCGGAAGGAGTTATGGATCAACTAGAACCAATAACATCAAAATATGTGCATTTTATGGGAAGTGGAGACATATTATTGATGTATGCTATTATAAGCATGTATTTCCTCCTAACTTTGGTATGCATAAATCAAAACTTGATAATGGAGTAGTTAACAATGTTACAAACACCATTGTTGTTTCATGAAGAAATCAAGATGATTCCTTGTACATAGAAAACTCTTCAAAACCTAATCTCAGTTTCAGCCCTGCTCAGTATGTTGAACTTGCATCTCTATTGAATAATGTTAGAACTCACTTTCTGAATCACAAGATAAATCAACTCAACATCATGCCGATTGATGAATCAGATCCTCTTAAGGTTTTGTCCTAAATTCATGTAACAACTATCATTGGATTCTTAATACTGGTGCAACTGACTATGTATGTCCTCATTTGTCTAGTTTCACTACCTATCAATCTATCAACCCAATTGTCATTAAACTTCCAATTGGGCCTGTTGTTAAGGCTAAATACTCAGACATGGTTATGTTTTATGAAACCTTAGTCTTGCACAATGTCTTATTAGTTCCACAGTTCAAATTCAACCTCATATCTATTCATAGACTTGCACTTGTATTGCTTTGCAGAGTAATTTTTTATGCTTCTCAATGTATGATCTAAGATATGAGTACCCTGAAAATGATTGGACATGATAAAGTGCAGAACAATCTTTACATTCTAAATATTCCTTCAAGACCATTGTCACAAATTAGTTGCAGTGTAAGTTCATTTTCTAGTTTTCCTTTATTGGATTTGTGGCATTTCATATCAGGGAACCATTCACTTGTTGTTTTGAAAAGCATTCGTAAAGATTTTGATTATGTACACTTGATTCTAAGAAAGTTTGTGATTTTTGCCACACGGTTAAACAAGCAAAGTTACCTTTTTCCAATAATATGCATAGATGCTTAGAACCATTTGATCTCATTCATATGGACGACCTTTGTCTGTCTCTTCCATTCATGGATTCAAGTATTTTCTTACTATGGTAGATGATTTCAGTAGGCATACATGATTATATCTAATTAAATCTAAATCAGAGGATGCAAAACTTTGTCACCTTCATTCACACCCATTTCATAAGGTTGTCAAAGTTATTTGATCAAATAATTGAGTTGAATTCAACATGCCTTCTAACTTTGAAAATCTTGGCATTATTCATCAAACTTTGTCATAGAAATAAAATATAAGCATCTTCTTAATATCACTAGAACCTTATTGTTTCAAGCTAAACTTCCAAAACTCTTCTGGTCTTATGTTGTTTAGCATGCTACCTTTTTTATAAACAGATTGCTCAACCACATTCTACAAAAAAAAATGTCCTTATGAACTTCTCTATTAGTGCAAGCCTAATCTTAATAAGCTCATGGTTTTTGGTTGCTTGTGTTTTCCCTCTACCCTTATGCATCATCGCACAAAGTTGGATGCTAGGGCTAAGAAATGCATTTTTTGGGTTACAAATCATGAGTTAAGGGTCACCTTTTGTTTGATCTACAAACTAGAGAAATATTTCTCTCTAGGAATGTTTATTTTTATGAACACCAGTTCCTTCTATCCACTCAGAGCATAAATAAGTTGAGTTCTACCAGTGCCAATTCTTGAAATTCCCACAGTATGGTTACCAGTGCCAATTCTTTTCCTACAATTTGACTACTAGTGTCAGTTCTCGAAATTCCCGCATTTGGCTACATGTGTCAATTCTTTTCCCATAATATGATTACTAGTATCATTTTCCGAACTTCCCACAATATGGATGTCTGTGCCAATTCTTAGTGCCACAGAAAGAAAAGGGGAGAAGTTTGCCGACAATGTGTTGGCGGAAAATATGGGGGAGAAAGAAAAAGTAAAGTAAAAGCGTACTCAACTTGGTGCAAGAAAATATGAAGGGAGGAGGCTTTTATTTATAACATGAGATTTTGTTAAAATTCATGCATCCTCCTATGTGGGACTTATGATACCTTTTCAAAAACTTCCTATGTGAGACTTACTAATATTTTTTCAATTTCACACCCAAAAGTTCTTCAAGTTCCAACAATCACCCACTTGAAATTAAAAAACGATTTTCGGGAATTTCTGTGGTCTCAATAAGATTGTGCATAAACAAAGGTGTCATTCGACTTCAACCTTTGTATAGTGAATAAGATCCAGATTTTACTAGAGTGACTCGTAGTCTTGAACTCTATCTCTGACATCGAACCACACACAACCTTTTCAAAGGTGTATTCAATAAAGTCTGTGCGTTAAGGGTCATGCACGTCTATCCCAGTTTAGTGAATGCTCTAGAAATTTATGCCCCTAAATTTCATAGAAAGTGGCCCCCACTTCCACATTCACATAGTTGAGTCTATCAAAAGTACTACTATAGTCTAGGTACTACACTCCAAATGGAGTACAGATCTCATTAAGATTTTAACTTATCCTTACATATACTGCAAGAATCATGCTTCCTATAATTTTATAGCATGTTCATTCTCATATCACTTCACAACTTGTTATTACCCTTTGAACCTATTTCTTGGGATCTCTAGTCAGTTGATCTCATGAGCAATTTTATGTATCTCGTGGGACTGAGACTCTACTGATTTATCATCAGTCATCTTATAGTTGAGGTAGCGGCTAACAACATACCTTTTAGTCCCAACTTCCTCAGTATCATATTTTTTTTCAAGTGCATACCAAACTAATTTGACAGACTTGTATGGGTTGTAGTAATCATAAAGATTATCAGACAACCCATTCATAATGAATTTTTTTCATAAGTAATCATTTTCATTTTAGTGAGTTATATTAATAGCAATTTTATCCTTTTCCTCTTTTTCAGCTTGTTCAGGCAATATTGTGACATCAGTTTTTAAAACGTCGGCAACCATTTTCACAATGAGGAAAAATTCCATCTTGGTTTGCCATCGTTTGAAATTAGTCCCATCAAACCGAAATGATTTGTTCAGGTCGAAGCTGTTCGGACTAGTAATATTATCTATGAATGCCATTGCAGCACGAAACGTCTTAAAATTGTTGTTACCGTAACTTGCAGCAATTCTAAATGACTCGAAATAATACTTACTGACTGAGTCACGACCAGGTCGCTCTCTTTAAGACGTTTCGTGTTACTGCCCAAAATGTGCAAGAAGACTATCAACCACGCCGTCCCCGGGATAAAATAGTCAAGTTCTCTGTTATCGAATTTTTACTACAATGTAAGAACCGATCTTGTGTACACCCACCATAATATGGCTACTAGTGTCAATTCTCAAAATTCCCACAGTATGGCTACCAATGTCAGTTCTCAAAATTCCCGCAATTTGGCTACATGTGCTAATTCTTTTCCCACAATCTGACTAAAAGTGTTAGTTTCTGAACTTCCCACAATATGGATGCATGTGCCAATTCTTAGTGTCATAGAAAGAAACTGAGAGATGTTTGCCGGAAATGCGTCGGCGGAAAATATGAGGGAGAAAGAATTTTTTTAAGTAAAAGTGTACTCAACTTGGTACAAGAAAATATGAAGGGAGAAGACTTCTATTTAT